CCAGGCCCAGGCCCCAGTTGCTGGAGATTGAGAACTCATTGAGATTGGAGGTCTTGGAGACCAGATCTCCCTCATAGAGGTGATGATCTGATGATGTATGATGTGATGTCCTGAACTTGCTGATAGATGATATTTGATGGACTTCTGTGTGGGAATCATGAGAGCTAGCAGCCAGTATTTTTGCAAAAGCTTGATGAGAGATCTGACAGATCAGAGCCATGCCAATTGGATCATTGCCTATCAGAACATGGAGAAGGAATGGGGGATTCAGGCTCTATGTGGTGAGGGTGAATACCTAGACTGTATGGTCTCAATGGTGGAGTGTGGAAGAGTGTCTTAATTTGGAGATGGGCATATAGCTAGAGAGCATAGGAAAATGGAACTTCCAATATGAGATGAGATGAGATGAGATGAAGCATTGGGTGCATCAAACAGCTGGCGTTGGGGTTGTGGCTGTATGTATGCAATTTCATTTGAGACCAAAGGCGGCTGCATAGACGCAACACCTGGGCATGAGAGATTGGGATCCTGACTTTGAGCAAATTGTATTGCTATACAAGCCATTGAGCAAATGCCCCAGACAGCAGCGCAATATGGATGGTGCTTCGATTGGGTTTGTTCGGCCTCCAAGAGCACATGGGCACCATGTGAGAGGGAAACTTGCTAGGCAATCAATGAGGATGGGGTCCATGGAATGCCTGGTGCAAATGGATTTGTGTGCATGATTAGGTGGCCCAATGGAAGATCAGAACCATTTGGGTACAACATTGGTTGATCCTCATGACTCATGCTATTGGTAGAGCATATTTTTGGCACAATTTATTGGTTTACTTTTGGGTGGGTGTTGGTGAGGTCCAATGAGGTTTTGAGCTTGGGTGGCATCACGAGAAAGAATGTCCTTGGTGCCCGGTTTGGTACAACCTGACTTCATGTATGTCTATGTGTGGGCAAGAAGGTTGGGGTGAAGAGAAGGTTCTTCATGAGCTTGGAATGAGTAGTGGCCACACAGCCAATTCAGACCCTTAGTGTATCTATGGCTGGATCGTTCCATGGGCTTCATAAGGTTCTTTGGAAGATTTCGTCGTAGATGCGGGGATATGGAGCATAGACCTGAAGAGCCATTGGGTGGGAACAATGGAGATGAGCAGGATTGGTCTAATGGAACTTGTGGGATAGGATGTGAACTCCCAATGCTCGCAGAATGGTTCCCTATGACCTTTGAGAATGAGGATGAGGCTTATTGTGGGTATGGGCGTCAAGAAGGCCATGCAAAGCCCAATTCCAATCAGT